TCTCGGCTCACCGCAACCTTGGCCTCCCGGGTTCAAGCAATTCTCCTGCCTCAGCTTCCCGAGTACCTGGGACTACAGGTGCCCGCCACCACGCCCGGCTAATTTTTGCATTTTTGGTAGAGACGGGGTTTCACCATATAGGCCAGGATGGTCTCGATCTCTTGACCTCATGATCTACCCACCTCGGCCTCCCAAAGTGCAGGGATTACAGGTATGAGCCACCGCACCCAGCTATCAAAGGCATTAAATAAGACATATTTCTATGTCTTATTATTTACCAGGGGAATGGTAAATAGTAAACATCCATACAACTTAAAAGTCATTAAAAAGAATTAGATCTCTGAGGAAAGGGTTGAACCCAGTTGTAGTACATAGTTTCATGCCTTTGAGGCACTGTATGTATTGCTTCATCTACATGACACATTTGCCCCTGTCCTTGTCTATGAAATCCTCACAGACAACTCACAAAAGGAGTTCACATCAACTGACTTGTGAATCAACTGACAAGACTCAGTTTAACTATTGGTTGCTTTGTGAAGCCTCCCTTGACTCCCTAAACAGAAATGCCCACTCCCCTCCTTGTGCCCCCACAGTAATAGGGATCTACCTCCATTATACACTTATTTCTCTACTGCCTTTGTTTAGACGTCCGCCTCCTCCACTAGACTCCAAAAGGGCAAGCACCATGGCTTGTTCCTTTCACTGCTAGGACCCAGCGCAACCCTTAGCAGTAAATACTCCGGGACCTTTGCAGAGAAGCAGGGACGAGGGGACTTGGCAAGGGCTATGAAGACCTCCTGCCTCTCATCTGCGGGCAGCCTTAGAATTTTCCAGACTGATTGCTGAGGATCAGATAGTCACACAGGGATCTACTTGGCACCTAAACTAATTCCCACCTTCAGGGAACCTTGTCATTCAGGATTCAGGTGCTCCTCTAGGACTGAAGGTGGCAAAACTGTGTGCCCTTTGGAAAAACTTCATGATAGATGAAAACAGGGCCAACACCGTGATGCAAACTCTTAGCTATGGAAGCCTGGGAGGCTGGTAGGTTTGGATGGTCTATGGCCTTCTGATGCCTCTACCACTGCAACACAAGTGCCCTTAATTGTCCAGAGTCCTATAAAAATAGATGGAAAACTAGGACCACTTTCAAGGGGCTTAGGCAAATACATAAAGTGCCTGAATTATACTCTAAAGCAGTAACAGTTAGGGTAGAGAACAGTAGTTAAGTATGTTTTCCTTTTTAAAAAGGGAATGAAAACTAAAGCAAGGGGTACCAGATTGAGTTAATCCTTCATGTTGAAACAGTACCAGTATCCAGTGAATGTGTCCAACCTAGACACCAAACTAGATGATTCAAGCTCTAGATGGGTATTCTAGTTTCACATTTATGTATGAACTAATTAACGACAACAACAAAATCACCTTTTAATTTTGCTACACAGTCCTTTTTTTTTTTTTCCTCGAACTCCTGACCTTGTGACCTGCCTGCCTCGGCTTCCCAAAGTGTTGGGATTACAGGCGTTAGCCACCGTGCCTGGCCCACGGTCCTAACCTTAGAAATCTTCAGTGGCCGCCAGGCATGGTGGCTCACACCTGTAATCCCAGCACTTTGGGAGGCCGAGGCAGGCGGATCACTTGAGGTAGAGAGTTTGAGACCAGGTCGACAAACATGGAGAAACCCCATCTCTACTAAAAATACAAGTAGCCCTGTGATTCCAGGTACTCAGGAATCCGAGGCAGGAGAATTGCTTGAACCCGGGAGGCAGAGGTTGCGGTGAGCCAAGATTGTGGCATTGCACTCCAGCCTGGGCAACAAGAGCAAAACTCCGTCTCAAAAAAAAAAAAAACGAAGAAAACCTCAGTGGCCAGGTACAGTAGGTCATGCTTATTACTCCAGTACATTTTGGGAGGCCAAGGCGAGAGGATCCCTTGAGACCAGGAGTTTGAGACCAGCCTGGGCAACAGAGCAAGACCCCATCTCTACAAAAAAAATAAAATACATTAGCCGGGTGTGGTGGTATGCACCAGTAGTACCAGCTATTCAGGAGGCTGAGGTGGGATGACTGAACCCAAGAGTTTGAGGCTACAGTGACATATGATTGCACCACTGCTCTCCAACCTAGGTGACAGCAAAAGACCTTGTCTCTTGAAAAACAAAAATTCCTCAGAGGTCATTTTTGAAACAAGCTTCAATGCAATGTACAATCAAATAACTTTCCTTGGTCCTTAAGTTATTCGAAATAGGTAATTTCTAAATATTAACAAAATACTTTCAAGTTTCTATATCTTGCTGCTAGCAACATCTCATTCTATGAACTAGACCAGCTCTGGCAATGAAGACCACATAGGAAATATTATTTATAGTAAACTTTATTTTCGTTGATATTTCACTTAACATAATTTCAAAGTCAGTCTGTGGTCTAAGATGAGCAGAAGAACAGATATTCTAAATTTCATAAGAGATTTTTTCACACTGTTCCTCAGAGCACGGAATGGGGTTTCAGGACCCTCAAAGTTGACACCTAACATTTTACCCTTGAGATTTACCTATAGATACAGAAAGAAGAGATAACATCAATGTACAAGAATCGATCTCTGTGAGGGTCTCAATAAGCTCATGTTACATCCTCATTATAACCTCTGTAGGGTTATAATGGTGACAACTGATTTTCCACTCCTCCGCCAAGTTTGGTGTCTTTTTTTTTTTTTAGGTAAAATGTCAGATGCAAAAATGCTGCACTTATTTCTGTTAATACATTGAAAACAGTGGAAGATGCAGATTTTTAATTCTTCATCAGTGCAAGCTGGAACATGACTTCTGCTAATGGGGTCTGTTGAACATACTAACTCCAACTTTGGCGGCCATCAGCAAACTGTTTAAAAGAAACAAGATAGAAAATGTCAGGTAAAGGACAGAACAGGCAACTATGTTTTTAAGGAACTAAACTCTGCAGGTTCCTCACAACTGTGTGGGGGAGGAGGTACTAAGGCAAGAGTGGTCAGAGGTAAAATTTCCATCCCTGGAGGAACCAGAGAAAAAGCAAGCCAAGGGACAGTCTCACACTGAGGTCTTAAAATAGCACACATGAGCTGGATCCTAATCCAACTGCCAATAATTTGAAGAGATGAAGAAATGGAGGCAAGAGAGAGCAAGGCCGCCCCACCCTCAGGGATCTGATAATGGTCGAAGCTCCAGCCTCTCAGTTTCCTGCTCTAGACCTTGCTCCACACTGACTCTTTTGCTTCAGGTATAACATTATACTGGTAGCGTCACAACTATGATCAGAGCGGAGTATGCAATCTTTCTCCAAATCAGATTTTTAAAAATTCCCCTGCCTTCAGGATGTCTTTATAATACTTAACAACTAAATTTTTTGTTTTTAAGAAGGTCAATTTTTTTTTCTTTTGATACGGAGTCTCACTCACCTCTGTTGCCCAGGCTGGAGTTCAGCGGCACAATTTTGGCTCACTGCAACCTCTGCCTCCCAGGTTCAAGCAATTTTCCTGACTCAGTGTCCCAAGTAGCTGGGATTACAGGCGTGCACCATCACGCCCAGCTCATTTTTGTATTTTTTCATAGAGATGGGGTTTCACCATGTGGGCAGACTGGTCTTGAACTCCTGACCTCAAGTGATCTGGCCGCTCTGGTCTCCCAAAGTGCTGGGATTATAGGCGTGAGCCACCAAACCCGGCCTACAACTAAATTTTTTTTTTTTTTTTGAGATGGACTCTTGCTCTGTCCCCCAGGCTAGAGGGCAGTGGCATGATCTCAGCTCACTGTAATCTCGGCTTCCCAGGTTCAAGCAATTCTCCCTGCTTCAGCCTCCCGAGTAGCTGGGATTACAAGTGTCCACTACCACACCCGGCTAATTTTTGTAGTTTTCGTAGAGACGGGGTTTCACCATGTTGGCCAGGATAGTCTTGAACCCCTGACCTCAGGTGATCCGCCAGCCTCGGCCTCCCAAAGTGCTGGGATTACAGGTGTGAGCCACTATGCCTGGCCACAACTAAATTTTTTAAAAGCTACAATTTGGTTTAGGTTTTATAATTAAAATTAGACAACAGCGCCGGGAGCAGTGGGTCACGCCTGTAATCCCAGCATTTTGGGAGGCCGAGGTGGGCGGATCATGAGATCAGGAGTTCGAGACCAGCCTGGCTAACGTGGTGAAACACCGTCTCTACCAAAACAACGAAAATGAGCCAGGTGTGGTGGTACACGCCTGTAATCCCAGCTACTCCAGAGGCTGAGGCATGAGAATCACCTGAACCCGGGAGGTGGACAGTGATTGCAGTGAGCAGAGATCACACCATTGCACTCCATCCTGGGTGACAGAGCGATACTCTGTCTCAAAAAAAAAAAAAAAAAATTAGAAAAGAGGATTCAATCAAAATTCCCTTTTAGCAAAATTTTCTGTAAAAGACATCTACACATCTAAGAAATATGGGACCCCCGCATCTTCCATGCAAGTCACACAAAAGGCTGCAGTCATGGCTTTGCAGGAAAACTTCTGCCACCATATAGAGAGGAGCTAGGATGGATCAGAAAGCAAACATGAGAACAAACCCATTTCCACAGTGAATGGATATACTCATGCCATTCTGACATTAAACCAGCTATTGTTTTTGAAACATTTCCTATTAGTGTATATATCAAATGTCAGTTGATGCATAGCATCAGATATCCTGAAACAAGTTAGGTTTTGAATGCATAAAGTATCCTGGGGAATAAACTGAACTCTACATGATAAAAAAGAGTAACAAATGAAAGTACCTGGCACCTGCAATTAAACCTGCAGGCATGAATTTTCCAGAGTTGTAGAATCTCATTCCCATAATGCCAGCCAAGGTACCAGATGTAGCTGATGAAAAAAATATAAAGAAGGGTTAAAACTCATTACATCTTCTACGCAGGGGAATCAGAAGTGGGCCAAACCCAACCCATCTCTCAAGGGTCACACCTCATCCTATGCTTATTCTTCACCAAGTGGGTGGAGACTACTGGCTGCCCACATCCTATGGGTCCAAGTACCAATACTGGCCAAATAGGGTCCTTCACAGCCTGGGCCCTGCCTGCCCTTCCAGCCTCATCTCTTACCACTTGTCTTCTGCAAAACCCACACTTTAGCCATCAACGTGTTAGTTTTCTCCAAAATGCTGCTGTTTCTCATGCCCCGCAGACACTGTTTCCTCTACCCTGCACGCAATTCCCACGGGGTAACTGTCAAAGCACCTACTACATGTCAAGCGCTGTGCTAGGTGCTGGAGAATACAAAGGTAATCGTAACTGTCTCTGCCCTTTTACAGTGCTTCAGGTCTGATGGGACAGACTTTAAAGACTCACACAAATAAAAAGGCTTAGCCAAAAAAGTGAAGATTGGCTGAGATCTGAAATTACAGCAGGAATTAATGAGCTGAAGGATGGGAAGGCCCATTCCAGGCAGAGGGCACAGTATATGCAGAGGCCCGGTGGTGACAGGGAGCATGGCACATTCACCTTAAAAGGCCAGTGTGGCACAGAAGTCAAGTAAGAGGGGCCAGACCACATGGAGCCTTGAAGGTCATACTAGGGATTGGATTTTCATCCTAAGAGCAATGAGAAGCTGTTAAAGGCTACTAAGCAAAAGGACACATGAACAGAGTCGCATTTTTTGTTTGTTTTTGAGACAGATTCTTGCTCTGTCACCCAGGCTAGAGTGCAGTGGTGTGATCTTGGCTCACTGCAACCTACAACTGCCGGGATCAAGCAATTCTCAAGTCTCAGCCTCCTGAGTAGCTTAGACCACAGGCGCCCGCCACCACATCTGGCTAACTTTATTTTATTTTATTAAAGACCCGGTTTCACCGTGTTGCCCATGGTGGTCTCCAACTCCTGAGCTCAGTCAATCTACCCTCCTCGGCCTCCCAAATCTGTTCAGGAGTTACAGACCAGCCTGGACAACATGGTGAAACTCCTGTCTCTACTAAAAATAGAAAAATCAGCCGGGCATGTTAGCGGACACCTGAATCCCAGCTACCCGGAACGCTGAGACAGGAGAATTGCTTGAACCCAGTAGGTGGAGGTTGCAGTGAGCCAAGACTGTGCCACTACACTCTGGCCTGGGCAATACAGTGAGACTCTGTCTCAAAAAAAGGGAAGTTTATGAAGGTGAAGGAGACAAGTACATCTGAATATCAATGGGGGGATCCACCTAAAAGGAGGAATACAAATACAAGACAGGATCCTTGCCAGTGTGAAGGTCTGGAGAAGGTCAGGGAGAAGACACTCAAAGCACAGAGGAGGACACTGGTGTTGGACAGGAGGGAAAACAGGACGAGGTGAGGCTTGCAGATTAAAGGCTCCGGGAAGTCCCCACCTGATGGCTGCTATTTTTTTCCCTGAAGTAGGCATGAGGTCATTTGCTGAGTGGAGTACAATCACAGAAAGGAAAAATGCAGGCTGAAAGTCATTTTGAAGCATGAGGGAGGGAGCTGTTAGGCAGAGCTGGGACCTGGACGCACCTCCTTCCCCAGCACACCCCATTAGCCATCACTGACCTCCCTTCCCAACCCGGCTGATGTGTACAGATCACACGGCTTCTCCCTCCCACATGGCACTCATTCTCACACGGGGTTTGTGGAGACAGTGAGGAACCCACACTCCCAGCAGCGTCTGACACATGGGTGGAGCCCCACAGAAATGTGCTGAAAGCCACCCTGATAAGAAGGACTCCTCAGTCCCCCACCCCACTCACTGTCCATGCCGCTCACAGGGTATATTTCCAGTTCTGCTTCTATGCCCATGTTTTTTGTTTTTTGACACGGAGTCTTGCTCTGTCTCCCAGGCTGGAGTGCAGTGGCGTGATCTCAGCTCACTGCAATCTCTGCCTCCCAGGTTCAAGCGATTCTCCTGCCTCAGCCTCCCAAGTAGCTGGGACTACAGGCGCCTGCCACCATATCCAGCTAATTTTTGTATTTTTAGTAGAGACGGAGTTTCACCATGTTGGGCAGGCTGGTCTTGAACGCCTCACCTTGTGATCCGCTCACCTCGGCCTTCCAAAGTGCTGGGATTACTGGTGTGAGCAGTCACATTTAGCTAACTGCTAAAGAGGTGGTTTTCAAATGGAGAAATTGCAACTCGGATGCAAACCTAACCCAGATGTGTGATGTTTTAGGGATGCTGAGGCCAGTGGTCTTCCATGGGCAACCTCAACGGCTGACACATTTGCCTTATAGAAGTTTAATGCTACTGGGTAAATACATTCACGAGGTATGGAAATCCTTCCATGTTCTGTACATAAAAGATAAACAGAAACCAGCACAAATCCTGCCTCTGCGCCCTCATTTTAAAACTTTCTGAGGACTTGGTAGAAGAAGTGAAACTGTCATAGGGTAAGTGTGAAGACCTCACCCCATCCCACCAAACCAGGGTCGTTTGGAAAAGAGTATTCTGGAAACACAGCTGCCCTAAGGAGACGCTGAAGCAGACATACCTAGGAAAACCCAAACGTTCCTTGGATCCTGAGACAGCTGGTAAGCACCCAAGCCGGCTAGGCTGCCGAAGAGCAGCCCCGCAGCCAGGGACGGCACGCTGCCTAAAGGGAAGCAAACACAGCTCGCATTTTTAACATGAGGCACTTATTTCACTAACAGAATCCACCAGACCCCCATCCCTACAAAGGAGGACAGCACAGAGAACTCTCAACACAGCTCATAGCCAAGGTGGACTCAAGCAGGAAGATGTTTCGGGGAGTGTGCTATCTTCTCAGAGAAGTCAGGGTCTTCCCACCCCATTTTTCTCTCCTCTCATAGGCAGGGCACTTCCATTTAAGGAAAGGAAAGAAGGCCATCTTCCCTCCTTAGATGGAACTAGTGGCTAGTGGCTAGTGGCTAGGCCTTCTTTCTAAACAGGCCTGATCAACCATGAAGGGCTGGAACTGTGTACAGGCAGGACCTCCAGCAAATCACAAAAGGAGAGGGAAATAGGGCCAATCAATTAAATAAAAATACAAAGACCTGGACAATAAGAATTCTGGTGTGGGGGTTGGGGTGGGAATGCAGGCAAGGACTAGGTGGCAGAAACAAGCACAGCCACTGACACACCCCTGCCTGGCCTAATGAGGAGACTTCAAAATACCAGTCTGTGTAGACCAGAGGTTTCCTCCTACCTGAGCCCGGAGATAGCACTTGGGGGTCGTGGCTGATGCACGGTAGTCAATGATAATAACAAACTACAACCACCTCTGCCTATCTTTAGATAAAGAGGCAAAAACAAGTAATGCCACAAGAGGCCTGGCTCAGCTTCACCAGATAACCAGAAGGCAAGTGCGGGAGCTGCAACACTGACAAGGAAGCCTGCACTCCAGCTTGGGGACCTACAGCAAACCTGAATGAAATGAGCTTGCTTCTCAGGGGTACCCGGGCACTCACATTTCACTGGAACAACGTGAAGATGTTAAGAGGCTAAATAACAACAAAACCATACCTGCTTTTACATAGCCAATAATCCCACCAGAAGCAACCAGTGCTGCGTAGCCAAAGCCAAACCAATGCAAAGGCACTCTGAAAACACGAGAGAGAAGTCAGTGCTAACCTGGCTTTAAAAACAAACCATATTGTCATAGGATGGGACTAAAAGGTAATCATTCCCCACAGGTTCTATCACTGAAAATAAGGCCCACAGAGGTTGGATGACTTTCTGAGAGTCACACAACTCAGCAAAGCCAGAGCTGGGACTCAAACCCAAGTCTCTGGCCCACAGGTCCAGTGATCCTCCCATCCCCCACGCAATCCCAGGCAGTCTACTCTTAGGGTTCTTTTCAGCTGAGGAAAGGAACTCTGGTTTCCAGAAGCTCCTGGCTACTCCATACCCATTTCCTGTCCACTCACACTGAGCCGGTGTCCGGCATTCTTCTCTTCTCTGTCCAGACAGGAGACTACCCCAGGCCTGCACCTGCGGAAAACAAGCTGGATCAGAGGTGGTTAAAAGCACAGCTCTCCAGCAGTCCAAAAGAAGTGTGTCCAACCCGCAAGCTACGCACCCTAAATCTCAGTACCCTTCACGTACCATGAGGATAACACTGGTACCAATTTCCTGGGGCTGTTGTGACTATTCAATAGATTTCACATGTAAAGGTGCTTAGCACATAATAAACGCTGAACAGATGCCAACCATTGTCACAAAAACCTTAGTTCTAATCACATAGGCCCACAGGAAACTCAGCAAGATCGACTGACAGCTCTATAATCAGGTGATGCATTAGTCATTTCATTAGCTACCCACGTTACCACAAAGTTGAAAGCAAGTACTCCTGTGCCCTTAATCCAACTACCTTAATGTCTCTTTTGAGGGAAGGTAGGACTGCTGCTTTTCATCCCTGCTGCAACAGCCAATTTTAACACTCAACTTTTTTAGAAACTTCTGTGTCCAACTCACAGTTCTTGTTAGGAGGGCAGAAGGGGAGGATAAAATATACGGAAACACTGGTCATATTCACATGTGACATTGCATCCTCGGAAAAACAGCTCCTATTTTCTTACAGAGAGTATCCAGCATGCAGCGAGCCTAACAAGATGAAAGCAATGCACACCCCGTGTATTCTGTTTAAAGAATTAGGCCATGTGCAGTGGCTCACGCCTGTAATCCCAGTACTTTGCGCCCGAGGCAGGCGGATCACCTAGGGTTAGGAGTTCAAGACCAGCCTGGCCAACATGGTGAAACCCATTGTCTACTAAAAAATATTTAAAAAGCAATCGGGCATGGTGGCATGTGCCTGTAATCCCAGCTTCTTGGGAGGCTGAGGTGGGAGGATGGCTTGAGCCCAGGAGGCAGAGGCTGCAATGACACATATTCAGGCTACTGCACTCAAGCCTGGGCGACAGAGTGAGACCCTCCCTCAAGGACGAAAAAAAAAAAATTAAGTTTCCATAAAACAGGGAAGGGCAGGGGGCTTGGAATCTTGCCCACAGTTCTTAACTCGAGGCGGCACTGAGTTAGCGAGGCTTTTAAAGAGATGGAGCAACAAAACCACCAAGAAACCAGGCAACACTACGCTACATGGGTAAGCCTTTGCTCAGGAGGTCAGGGACTCCGCGCGTGCACAACTTCTTTTAAGAAGAGCAGAAAATACCCAACGAGAAAAGCACCAACCACACGGCCTAAAGGCCCGGCTGAATCGGGGGGACGAAAAGCAGACGGCCGTGAAACTCCTAAATAATCCCTAAAAGTTAAAAGTGGCAGAAATAATAAGAATAATCCCAAATACTCGCACCGGTCTCACGAAGGCCCGGGCTGTCTACAAGGGCGCGCAAGCCGCAGTGACGACAGCGAGATGTCGCCGGAAACGCGGCGGCGGACGCTCTGCGTCCCGGTGGCGGGGTGAGGAGAGGGGCGCGGCTCTGTGGTGCGTGCGCAGTGTCCCGGGAGAGGGGCGGGCAGAGAACGGGGACGGTGCTTGAGCCACCGAGTAGCAGCTAGCGCCCTGCATTCAGGGCGTGAGGAGTGGGGCGGGACATCGCGGCGAGCGCCCCAGTCCAGGGAACGGGGCGGGGAATCTCTGTGCTTCCCCAGTCCACAGCGCCTGCAGGGCCGACCAGCACCAGTCCCAGGTCCAACCCTGAGTGGCCAAAAGCCGGAAACCCGGAGTTGCACAAGCTGGACCACGTGAGCTCGGCCAGGCCAGATGTGGAGGCCACCGCTGCGGGAGGAGGGCATCTGAGGCTGGATTTTGAAGGACCCCATTAACAGAGGGACAAGTTACAGGGTATAAACCAGATGCGGGCCATCAGGGAGGAGTGTCACTCAAGCCCGATCTTGTTTGTTTACACCAGGAAGGGCCTGCCTTCTACCTGCAAGAAAATATGGCGGCTGCAGAATAATGTGACTCAATGCCAAATATCTGTTTGTTTTAGGGAGTGAGGCTACTTGAGAAGCATCTTAAAGGGGGATAGGGAGTAAGTTAAACCTGATTTTTACCCAGCTCTGTGGATCCCGAATGCCCACAGCATGATGTTATCTCCATTATCACTTCCGAGCCGCTCCTGTTCCCTGTGTTTCCCGCACCACCATTCTCTCAGTTGCTCTACACTAAAGTTTGCTGTCATCGTTGACTTCTCCCTCTCCTTCATCCCCTACAAGTATCAACATAGACAAATCTGATCAATGTAATCGTCACTGAATAAATCAAATTCCAGCGCAGTCTTTTTTTTTTTTTTGATACAGAGTCTCGCTCTTGCCCAGGCTGGAGTCCAGTGTGCGACATCGGCTCACTGCAACCTCTGCCTCCCAGGTTCAACTGATTCTTGTGCCTCAGCCTCCTGAGTAGCTGGGATTACAGGCCTACACCACCACGCCTGGCTAATTTTTGTATTTTTAGTAGAGATGGGGTTTCACCATGTTGGCCCTGCTGGTCTCGAACTCCTGACCTCATGATCCGCCCCCCGCTTGGCCTCCCAAAGTGCTGGGATTAGAGGCTGAGCCACTGTTCCGGCTTTTGCAGCGCATATTCTTTTTTTTTTTTTTTTTTTTGAGACGGAGTCTCACTCTGTTGCTGTAGAAAGTAGAAAAGTTCCTCTTCAAAGCTCCTCTTGGTTTAAAAATAAAATAATAGACACTAAGAATAATCACTTCTTAGTCTAAAGCCCCCTATCAACTGTCAGTTCTTACACTTTAGCCCAGTTAGTTGCTTTGGCTTACTCAGGCATGTCTGGAGAGGCCCAAGCAAGTCTCAGCTCATAGCTTATGCTCCTCCTTATCTGGAAATGTTATTGCTTCCTTAAACCTTTCATAAGCAACTTCCTCTCCTTCTTTATCCTCCCTTGCACTTATCTATTTAGGAAAGTTTCAGGATGTTAGCAAATCGGGTATCAGTTTAAGACTGTGAGGTCCAGCACCAGCCAATGGATGCAAGACACAGCGGTAATGACGACCCAAATGTGTGAGGCATAAATAGGTCTGCTTTTCCTTTGTCCAAGTGTGCTTTCACCATCGTTCCATCTGCGAGAGGCACCTTTTCTGCAGAAAGTAAAAATGGTCTTGCTGAGAGATTTAAATTTATGTTTGAGTGCTATTTCTTTGCGGTGCCGGGGAACAAGCATTCCTAACAGTTGCCCAGGCTGGAGTGCAGTGGCAGGATCTCGGCTCACTGCAACCTCTGCCTCCCAGGTTCAAGTGATTCTCCCGCTCAGCCTCCTGAGCAGCTGAGATTACAGATGCGCAGCACCACACCAGGCTATTTTTTGTAGTTTTAGTAGAGACGGTGGTTCACCATGTTGGCCAGGCTGGTCCTGAACTCCCGACCTCAAGCAATCCGCCTGCCCGGGTCTCCCAAAGTGTTGGGATTACAGGCGTGAGCCACCACGCCCGGCTGCAGCGCATATTCTTAAAGACAGACTTTCCACTTGCAGCAGCACCTACCTTCCAGATAGCAAAATTGAAGCACGTGTGTATCATAGCTGATTCTAACCAGCTAAAGCTGATAATGACTAAGAACTTGCAGGAATTGCAGTATGCCAGACCTTCAATTGAAGACTTTCCTGAACAATTAATAAGGAGACTTGGCTTCACCTGCAGGGAATGGCTTTAGGGGCTCATTCTTCCCTATGCAGGCGGAAGCCTCAAACCTTAATTAGGATCATTCACCATGATTCCCGCACTCTCCCCCCGACCTTATACTTGAAGAAACTAAACCTCAGAGAATTGTATTATCTACAGTCTTTGTCAGTGGTACAGCTATTGTTTTTTTTTGTTTGTTTTGTTTTTTTTTTTT